GGTATCAGCCAAAATTTTCATATCGGTGCATCCCTAGTTAAAACATTAAAACACAATACAATGTGTAAAGCAGCTGTTTATCCAGCAGGTACCTGAGGAGGGTCAGTGATTTCACAGTCGCAAGAGGATCCAAATCACCCTGTTGAGAACCAGAAACAACCATTCGATCGCAAATCAATAAAGCTTAAAGATTGATTGATTCGTGTGCATAAATGCAGATCTATGGCTGGACTCACCAGTTCTTGAATGTTGTTGCTTGTGAGAATGAGCTCCTTCAGGTTTGGTAAAGACTGCTCCAGGTTCTCTCCGAATCGACTGCAACAAGTGAGACAAAAACAGTCAAAACCATAACTTTTAAGCTTTTTTTTAAACCGTTTCATAAGATGTGCAACAGAGGAATAACATTAATGCATGTTTGCAAGAACAGTAGCAGCATGCTATGATATGACGATAAACAGTGTATAACATGAGTCTATGTGTGTCCCTGGAGCACAAAACCAGCCATAAGGGGTATATTTGTAGCAATAGCCAAAAATACATTGTATGGGTCAAATTTATCGTTTTTTCCTTTATGCCAAAAATCATTAGGATATTAAATAAAGGTAATGTTCCATGAAGATATTTAGTAAACTTCCTACCGTTAGTCTAAGCCCTGTCTGTGAAACCAGGCCTTTATATTTTATTACTTGGAGGAAAAACAAAACAAAACAATAAAACAGAAGTGGGAAAATAGAGAGAAATACTAAATGAACTCAACGGTAGGCCTAAAACAAGAACAGATCCCTCATCCAGATCCAGCAGAGTGCAGCACAGTCCTGCTAGTCTAAGCCAGTTTCTCCTGTTCCTCATTTAAATGTGTTGAAGTTTAAAATGAAGTATAAAATAAACTGTCAGTGTGTAAAAGAAAACCACAGATGGTGTGATGAACATTTACTTCATTCCTCTGCCGAAACTCAGTCATCATGTTTCATTTCTAAATAATCTACAGCACTGCATCTGATCCTCTGACCAGATGTTGCGCAATTATTGAACCATCTGTGCAATCAGTGCAATGAATGATGGGATATGTAGTCCGGGATGATATGCAACAGTGTGAGTGCGAGAGTCAATGAAAAATGGGAAGGGTGACCTCTGATGGTTAGCCGACAGAAGTTCATGGACCGGATTCGTGACAAGCACACTTGAATAAACTTCTTTTTCGTAAGGGTTAATGTGACCTATAGGTCTAATGTAAAGAAAACTGTTGACACTAATGTCCCAGAAGAAAAAAATGTCAATGAAACATTCCTGATGGAGTTTGTAAAGTATAATATATGCAGTAGGCCTGTATGTAGCCTACTTTTTGTTTGAACATTTACCAAAAAAACACCATATAATCAGCTACATCGCAAATCTTCAGAAATATGGCAACTATCCTTCCTTAGGGTGGTCAGACTTCTTATGCTTGTAATGTAAATCAGTGAGATCTTTCTAACAGTATAGCAGATGCTTACATAAAATACATATAAATATCAGCCGTCACTCTATATCTCCCAATAATGTCTTCGTAAGATGATATTCAAATGCTTAGTTTTATGATCAAAGCTCTATATAGGTTTAAAAAACATTTATGCAATGCAATAAATACAATAATGTTTTATTGTAGATGAACAAATATGTTCCTTAAATGCCCGATGATCATATTCATCTTGAAATACTGCTAAAATTATTCTTAGTTTACTTCAGAAATCAGTAAAGATTTCACAGTAAAAAAAGATATGTAAAACATGAGGGTGGATGTATATAATTATAATTAAAATATAACTTTTACTTGCTAAAAATGTATCAGTCAGACAACAGAAGGCATGTAGATTTTTCAGCAAACTTTTGATAACTTTGACAATTTAGAGGCCTTAGAAATTAAATCTTCATATTAAATATGATACATAGGCCTATAGGGTTAATATAATTTCTCTTTTGTGTTTCACAGGTTTATAATGACAAGGTTGAGCACATGATAACAGAATTTGCATTTTAGGGTTCGATCAAACTTAAAACTTTAAAATCTTTCTCTGTGAAAAAGACCCCAGTAATCACACATGGATTCAGAGATCGCAACACTGTCTCAAATGATGCTCAGGTTTACAAACATAACAAGGCAAAATTCTCAGTAAGAACTCAACTGTTTCTCATCAAATTCTTCCATAACTGAATAATCTGAACTGCTGTCCATATTCATTACAGCTTTATACTCTTACTGCGTGACAGCAATGGATTCATTTGATTTCTTCTAAGGTATTTCAAGAGAAGCATCTGAGATAAAGATGATAGGTACGCATGAAAAAAAAACTGCATAAGCATCTGAGCAATGTACATTTCTGGTGAATCTGTTCATCATAAAATAGCATCAAATAATAACCATAACCCTCTATATACCCTCTGTTAGAATCTGAGAGACTCTAAGCAACATTCAATATGATCACTAGATCTAAAACACATTGAACTCATTCAATAGATCAAAAACGCATATCATGCATATATAGCTGTGATCGGAGTATTTTTCACTTTTTATAGCCTACACTTGCTGTACATCAACAATTGACTCATTTGTGTCCACTTTTTATTTCTCCGGAGGAATTTGTGGAGAAACATCTAAGACAAAGCTAATAATTATGCATAAGACATAACTAAAAATGATCATCAGAGCAATCAAATGCACACATTAAATAATACCTTTAGATTAGAAAATACTATAGTAAACTCCTAATTTGCTGCTTATTGATAGAAAGGTCGTTGTTGTGGTAGTTAGAATATGGAGTGATCTAGATGATGCAGAATAAGACATCAATATGTGCTTATATGTGCAATAATAAACAGCCAATATTCTAGCAATATGCATGCTACTAAGCAACTAGTTAAGAGTGAATGGTGTTCCCTAATCTAAAGTGTTCAAATGCAATGATAATGATAATGAACAATAATGATCAAACAGCACAGTATTATCATAGTTCAGGGCTCATTAATAAAGCATTATGTTATGCACGCAATTATGCATGATACTGGTTATTATCAGTCCTGTGGTGTTTTCACAGAAAGTGACTCCAGAATCATTAAAGAGATTCACTGAAGCTTGAAGAGTTCAGTAACATCACAATGAGGAACATGTGTCACGGGTTCGTCTGTGTGCAGATGGTATCAAGAGCAGCTGTGAACCTTCTCTGCAATGATCAGTGTGTGTGTGTGTGTTCATCAAGTGCCCTTCAGGACATTGCAGTCAAAGCATCACCGGGTCACTGTGGGTCAGACTCGGACAGTTCACAAAGATGCATTGCAAATAGTCAGGCCCAATCTAAATATTTATAAGCTCTGATATCAGAACATGGAAAAGCACTGGATAACCAAAACAAACAAATGATCATTAGAGCTTAAACACAGACCACCAGGCACATGCATGCTCACTGTGGGAAAAAAAAGAGACTTGGCCACACATTTTCATCAAGGAAAGGTTTATATTTCAGAGCTTTGATGGACTTATTCCACCGTCAGATATTTAAAATACCATTAGATACATAGTTTAAAATGTACAGTGTCATTATTCTCGATCATTCTTGTGATTTAAAAGCTTAATGTCTCTCTTAACATTGCAGTTTCACTCCAGTTGTTATCTGGCATTCTCCAACGTAATAATTTTCACTGGAAATCACATGATCAGTTATGAGAACGGCTTCTCTCGTATACAGTTTTATCATAATTCAGAGTGATGTCTTTGAATAAAAAAGAAGCAATTTATACATGTACTGCATGTTTAAAAAATCTTAAAATATATATCTTGTTTAAATCAAATAGCACCCTAACGGGGTTTCTTGGAATGAGGATTATTATTTCTGTCATTAAAGGAATAGTTCACCGCTGAAAATGTAGTCAACCACAGGCCATACAAGATGTGGACGAGTTTGTTTCTTCATCAGAACAGATTTGGAGAAATGCAGCACTGCATCACTTACTCAGCAATGAATGCTCTGCAGTGAATGGGTGCCGTCAGAATGAGTGTCCAAACTGCTGATAAAAACATCACAGTGGCAACCAGTTCATCCATCAATGTCTTGTGAAGCTAAAAGCCACGTATTTGTAAGAAACAAATACATCAAGACGTTTTAACTTTAAATCGTCGCTTCTGGGAAAAATAATAACGTTGGACTGTTCTTGCTTGTAAACTGTGCTTGATCTGTGCATATTTCTCTCCTGATTCAGACAAGACGACTTTTCATTGGAGAAAGCAATATTATGGATAGAGCATTTATATTTTAGCTGCAAGCGACGTTTTGAAGTTAAAGTGCTTTAATGATTGATTTGTTTATTTTTGTTTTACAAGTCATTAACTGACGGACTGGAGTGGTGTGGAGACGAGTTTGTTTCTTCATCAGAACAGATTTGGAGAAATGCAGCACTGCATCACTTACTCAGCAATGAATGCTCTGCAGTGAATGGGTGCCGTCAGAATGAGTGTCCAAACAGCTGATAAAAACATCACAGTGGCAACCAGTTCATCCATCAATGTCTTGTGAAGCTAAAAGCCACGTATTTGTAAGAAACAAATACATCAAGACGTTTTAACTTTAAATCGTCGCTTCTGGGAAAAATAACAACATTGGACTGTTCTTGCTTGTAAACTGTGCTTGATCTGTGCATATTTCTCTCCTGATTCAGACAAGACGACTTTTCATTGGAGAAAGCAATATTATGGATAGAGCATTTATATTTTAGCTGCAAGCAACATTTTGAAGTTAAAGTGCTTTAATGATTGATTTGTTTATTTTTGTTTTACAAGTCATTAACTGACGGACTGGAGTGGTGTGGATTACTTGTGATGTTTTTATCTGCTGTTTGGACTCTCATTCTGACGGCACCCATTCACTGCAGAGCATCCATTGCTGAGCAAGTGATGCAGTGCTACATTTCTCCAAATCTGTTCTGATGAAGAAACAAACTCGTCTTGGATGGACTGAGGATGAGTAAATTTTTCAGCAAATTTTCATTTTTTGTGAACTATTCCTTTAATAACCACAGTATAACTAGTTTAAAATGTACATTAGATAATACAACAAAAGAAAGAGGAGGTCAGCCCATTGGCCTCTTCTCTTGCTGTCATCCAGCCGTCATCAAACACGTCCGGCAGCAGAACTGACGGAAGAGCTTCTTCTCACATAATCGGTTCGACTTGACCATCTCGCAGAACACTTCATCCGCTGGGAAAGACAAAGAGAAAGTTCAGATCTCAATCATGTCTAACTCATCGGAGATCTGAATGATCCTGGTGAGTTTGTATGCTCCAGAGTTTCTTACATTTGCCTCAAAGCGAGTCTTATTATTTTCCACCAACGCACTCAATAAAGGCTCCAAAGGGGTGTTTTTATAGTGATGTCATAGAAGAATCGTTTTGGTTCCCCAAAGAACCTTTCAGTGAACAGTTCTTAAATGAACGGTTAAACATTAAAAAAATCTAAAGAACCTTTTCTGCATTTGAAAGGTTCCATGGATGTTCCCGGTTCTTCATGAAACAATCAATACCAATAAAGAACCTTTATTTTTAAGAGTCTAGGATGAAACCCAAACGCCCTACACTTGAATCAGAAGTGCCACTGACAGCAGCGGACCATCTTCTGTCTCTCTTTCTCCTCTCTGGGTGATCTGATGCTCATGTTACGTAAGTTTGGCCAGACAGAAGGTTCCAGAGGAAAGAGGGGCAGTGGATCCTGGTGAAAGCATTGTTGCTCTCCTGCCAAAGCTCACATAACCGCCGTTTACAACAAGCCCTGTTTATCCAGCCTTTCACTCATGCACGACCCTCTTCCCTTTCATCGTCTCTCCGTACGTCACTCTCTTCTGAAATCTTTTTGCTCATTGTGTTCCTCGTTCTTCTCTCTCTAGCATCAGCATTTATAGCTGTGCAACAACAAACTGTGTTAGAGTTGATTTGAAGTCTAAAAACCTCGTAAACACCTGGGTCAGGTCAGTTTGACATGACATCATCCGTATGAATTACTCAATGTGATTATAATAACAAAAAGCTCCTTGCAAAACTTTATGGAAAAATGATAAATATATAAATAAACAAGGCCAAATGGAAGTCAGTGAATACATATGAAAGTTTTTGGCTTTAGAATCAAACAACAAGTCTCATAAAAGCTGACCAAGTTGCTTGTCCAAACTCCTATTATACTTTAAAGGGACAGTTTATCCAAAAGTCAAACTCCTGTCATCATTTACTTACTCGTATGTATCATTTTTCTTATTTCGACAAACACAAAATCAGATGTTCAACAGAACGTCTCAGTGAATCTTTTTTCCCCTACACAGAATTGTCGAGTACCTGATCAACAACTGTGGGAATCCAATCGTTCTCATCATGTTTTATTCTGTTAAAAGTTCACTGCACGCCCATCACTGAATCTACAGTGCCATGGCTAAATCGACGATGCTTTATGCGAGTTGTGAGTTTGTACTCTGAATTGAGTTAAGTTTGGGCGCTGAAAAATAATAAAAATGTTTTCTATTGCATTGTCAAACAGCGCAGTAAACATACAGCGTAACCAGTGCAGCCTGATTCACAATCAAATTACTCTTATAAGCCAGAACTGATTCAATGAATCAGCCACAATGACTCATGAATCAGTCTTAAAGGAACACTCCACTATTTTTGAAAATAGGCTCATTTTCCAACTCCCTTAGAGTTAAACAGTTTAGTTTTACCATTTTCGAATCCATTTAGCCGATCTCCGGGTCTGGCGGTAGCATTTTTAGCTGTAGCTTAGCATAGATCATTGAATCTGATTAGACCGTTAGCGTCTCGCTCAAAAATGACTAAAGAGTTAAAACTTGACTCTTCTGTAGTTACATCGTGTACTAAGACCGACGGAAAAGGAAAAGTTGCGATTTTCTAGGCCGGTATGGCTAGGAACTATACTCTCATTCCAGTGTAATAATCAAGGAACTTTGCTGCTGTACCATGGGTGCAGCAGGCGCAATGATATTACGCAGCGCCTGAAAATAGGCTTATTGGAAGTTACCTAGCTGGGACTATTTTTTAGGCGCTGCGTAATATCATTGCGCCTGCTGCACCCATGGTACGGCAGCAAAGTTCATTGATTATTACGCCGGAATGAGAGTATAGTTCAGGGGTAGGCAAGTTCGGTCCTAGAGAGCCGTAGTCCTGCAGAGTTCACCTCCAACCCTACCCCTGGTATAGTTCCTAGCCATATCGGCCTAGAAAATCGCTACTTTTCATTTTCCGTCTGTCTAAGTACATGAAAAGTGCTACCGCCAGACCCGGAGATCAGCTGAATGGATTCGAAAACGGTAAAACTCAACTGTTTAACTCAACTGGAAAATTTGCCTATTTTCAAAAATAGTGGAGCGTTCCTTTAAATTCAGAAGTAGCACATAATCACTGTATGTGTACTTCAAACCAGCATAATTATTGACTGCTTGTTCATATGACAGAGCGCAGTTAAACATAATTAAACAGATCACCATCCATAATCCATTCATCCCTTCTAGTCTTATCTGAGACTGGATCGCAGTGGTATTTAGATTAAAATAAATACAATATTTAATAAAAATGCATTAAAACAACACACTTAATATTAAAAATACAAATACAATCAAATGTGTGTGTTCATATGTAGAAATATAAATACACAAATAATTGATTAATTATTAGCCTGATTCACAAACAATGACTGATTCTACTTAATAAATCATTCACAAATCAGTGTAATTATTCACGTCTTGATCTTAAGAGAGAGAAAGATTAATTAGATAATTAAACAGATGATCTAAATTCATTTTAGCAGTTAAGACTGTGACTGCTGAGGGTGAGAAATTAAAGGTGGAGTAAGCGATTTTTTCAAAAATGCTTTAGAAAACTGATTCGGGCCGACTAGCAAACCAAACTTGTAGCCATTTAGCAGTAAGGGGCGTGTCTACTCATGATGTGGAGGAGAGAGAGTTCAGTGCAGACATTAGCGAGCCGAGCGACATAAAGATAGAGATGGCGGATAAAAAACAAAAGAGGAAAACGTCTGCGGAACAAAAGAAGGCTTAAGGCAATAAGGCAAGAAGTAGGACCCGTGTAAATATCGGATCAGCTTTCCAGCGCTGGAGAGAACTCGAGGAGCGGAAGGCCGAGGTTGCTTTGTTTCTTCTCGATAGGGGAGTAACACCGTGCCTGCGCCGCAACAGCTAAAGTCTGTCTAGTACACTGGACGCGAAAGCGACCGTTGAAAATCATTTGAAATTTGTGTCAATATGTCATGAATAGAATGCAGCAGCAGTTTTCTGTCGGGGATTTGTCGTGCAGTGTCATGCCGCATCCAGTGTAGACCATAGATATGTATATATATCTATATGGTGTAGACAGCATCACTGATTATAATGAGTTCCATAGTATTTTGTCGCGCCTCGCCACTCGCGTCCGGTGTAGAGACGGTGTAACATTGGTTTTGCTTTGTTTCACAGAACTAATCGTTGCCTGGGTTGCGTACATATGTGTGGGGCGGAGCTATCAAAATAGGGGCGAGACCCTTTTGGGGTAGGGGCGTTTGTTTTGGTGATTTCAAATGTCAACATTGGCTACCAGAAATCGCTTACCCCACCTTTAATTGAGACATGATTCATTCCAACAGCTCTAGTGATCTGCTGATGGATTTGTATCTAATATCTGTATTATATGAAGGCACATACCGTTGTTACAGGTGGCGTTCATGATACAGGTCCGGCTGATGAGGCTGTATCCCTCCTTACACTGCGTGCAGCTGGTTCCAGGACCCTGACAGCTCAAACAGTGCTCCTCACACCTGAAAATCGAAAAGACACGATTTTGATAAATGTGACCCTGAACCACAAAACCAATCATAAGGTTCAATGTTATGACAAATATTGTTATGATAGGACAATATTTGGCTGAGATACAACTATTTGAAAATCTGGAATCTGAGGGTGCAAAAAAATCAAAATAGTGAGAAAATCACCTTTAAAGTTGTCCAAACTTCTGTTCTTAGCAATGCATATTACTAATCAAAAATTAAGTTTTGATATATTTACGGAAGGAAATTTACAAAATATCTTCATGGAACATGATATTTATTTAATATCCTAATGATTTTTGGCATAAAAGAAAAATCGATAAGTTTGACCCATACAATGTTTTTTTGGCTATTGCTAAAAATATACCCATGCGACTTAAGACATTTCCTAAAAACACGAGGGAAGCCAGGCGATCAGAACAGGAGCATCATTAAATGAATGTCTACATCAACTGTTGCATCTGATGCATCAACACCAGCGAATGACAGCCGTCAATCACAAAGTGCTGCTTTAGTACAGGATTTCTGCAGGTTTTTATTTAGGTAAATTTAAGATAAAGTAAAGAAAATGTAAGGAATGATCTGAATGGAACAAAATACACCAACATGGTCTCTAAACATAAATGTCTTGTATTAGCAATGCTTCAAAGTTTGAAAGATTGTCTTGTTTTCCAGTGCAAATTTCTAAAGGCCATTTACTTAAGAAGAAAAATTACGTTGCAGTAAAATTGCAAAATGTTGCTAAAAGCATCAACTCACTTCACTTAATTTTGTTGAATTTCTCAGAAAGCAAGACTTTGCATGTTCAATCTGCATCTCAAGTAAATGTATCTTGATTTATGTTTAGATATTTGTACTGGAAAACATGCGTGCATGCAACATTTATGAATTTAAGTCTTTCTGACTCAATTTAAGAAGTTTTAGGCCTTCATTTGTGCAAGGGCAAATTAAGACGTCGAATACCTTTTAAGACCCACAGAAACTTTGTAGTACTCTTTAGCATTAGTTACTTTATTAAACTCTTGTTCTAATCAAAAGCAGGATTCAAACTGTGCCATAAAACTGATGCTGGCGGAGGAACATTGAGCTCATGCTTATGACACTGAGCTTGTTAATTGAACCGGCCATATCAGCATCTCAGCGCTCTGCATATTAGTCCAGATCATTAGTTCTGGAGTTGAAAGAGATCAGGTATCCTGATGTGTATCTGACAGCTCAGAGCGTTCACTCTGAATGCCAATTAATGCTCATTAAGTGCGCGTCTCATTCACACACCGGTCCACCGAGTTGGTATTTATGCTGCTTCTACATCTGACAAACATGACTGTTTACTTATTAACCTCATATGTATATTAACGAGTTAATCCCTTAAATTCTAGTTTTGTGTGCATATGGAACAGAACTCACTCTGGAAAATGTGATGGCTGACGCCATTGTAGCAATGTTTTGCTATCTTGCACGTTTTTTTTATCCACTATTTTTTACCAAAGTAATATTACAGCAACCAAAGACTCAATATGCCCCGCAATTATAACTTAGCCACCGTCGACAGAGCTGCCGTGTTTTGTTTTTGTTTAGAAGGCTGCTTTGCAGAGCACGCTTGAAGGGTTGCCATGACCACTTATTTTAAATGCTTATTATTTGTGCTCGGCTAATAAAGCAATCCAGTTGATGGAGTTCATAAAGCAGGCACGTGCAGGTTGTGATGTTTCAGTATGTTGCATATTTCCAAGTTTGGATTTATTATGGACTTGTTCTTATTTTTATAGCAAGATCTGGCAACACTGCGAGTCTAAATGTACCTTGTTTACGGTGATTTCTTGCGCCGCAAATCTGACATGTGGTTAAATAATGTAATTAACAACTAGTTAACATGTGGCCAAAATGGAGTAAATGATGACAATTTCATTTTAAGTGAACTGTTCCTTTAATGTGGTATCACAAATTGTGAAATTTTACTGGTTTTAAATCAACGACTGAAATTTTGAAAGACGTCTGCTCACCAAGGATGCATTTATTTGATCAAAATGATAGTAAAAACAGTAATATTGTGAAATATTTTTACAATTTCAAATAACTGATTTCTATTTGAATATATATTAATATGTAATTCATATTATCTGTGATGCAAAGCTGGATTTCCAGCATCATTACTCCAGTCTTCAGTGTCACATGATCTTCAGAAATCATTCTAATATTCTGATTTGCTGCTTAAGAAAATAAACATTTATTATTCTTATCAATGTTGAAAACAGTTGTGCTGATTAATGTGTTTTCAGGATTCTTTGATAAACATGAAGCAAAGAACAGCGTTTATAAAAAAAAGGAAATCTTATAACATTATAAATGTCTTCACTGTCACTTTTGACCACTTTAATGCATCCTTGCAGAATTAAACTATTAATTAAAAAAAAAATCCTACTGACCAGTGTGCGTGTACAGAAAACAACAGTTGTGAACGTACTAAATAATTTTTACCCTAATTTTAATGTCCATGAATCTTCAAGTAAAGCATGCATGCTGTTTTCAAAACCAGTTAAAACACAATGAACATCTTTTATATAGGCCTAAGCCCATTATAATTTGAAGGGGGCTACTTTACCATTATAAAATACACAAGCTCTGATTTACATAAAAATTACAACCTCTAAGGTCATCCATAAGAGCTGTGAAACCATCCTTGACACTGCATGTGTGACCTCTGTGCTCTTATACAGTATTTACTATATGTACTTTATCATTTGCTGGTATACGAGTTCAAACTGAATGTCTTTCAGTGTGGATTGGTTACCTCAGGGCCACACTTTACCTGTTTTTTTACGGCTGTCTGATCTATTTGCCTCCAGTGAAGATCAACTGGACTCGGAGAAGAACCCGCCTCTACTGCAATCACCATCCGTGACCTTCATAAAAGCCTCTATTTGCTTTAGACAGCATTCATAAAGCAAAAGACTGTTGATTTATAAATTGTGGAGTACAGAGGCGTATCCTCTCCCACCGCCCTTATGCTACACATTACAGGAATCTAAAACGCTGTAAATCTCAGCCATACATGAAAGATCTGTGCTGCACTTTCCTCTGCTGGTTCTCTCTGGTTTATCTGTAAAACCGACTGCTTATCGATCATTACACAGATTATACAAAAAAAGAGCAAGCATAAACTAAAAAAAACTTGAAATATAACTTATATAGACAATATATATTTATAGAATTCTATAATATAGGAATATATAACTTGCATATTAATATAAAATAAATATTATTCAATGTGAAGGTGATTTATGAGGACACTTTCGGTGTGTCCCCGTAATTCAAAAGTCTTAAAAAACACACTAAATGGTGTTTTTTTTTTTAAATCTAAAAATGCAGAAAGTTTCCTGTGAGGGGTAGGTTTAGGTGTAGGGTTGGTGCAGTGCGATAGAAAATACAGTTTGTACAGTATAAAACCCATTACGCCTATGGAGAGTCCCCATAAACCATAAAAACCAACGTGTGTGTCTGTGTGTGTTCACATTTCTGCCAGAGAACAATTGTCACGAATCCGGTCCATGAACTTCCATCTGCTAGCCATCGGAGGTCACCCTTTCCAGTTTCATTGACTCTCGCACTACACACTGTTGCACATCGCCCCGGACTACATATCCCATCATTCATTGCACTGATTGCACTCAGCACGGATTGCACACAGCTGTTTTCACTGATTGCACACAGCTGTTTCACATCACTCACTCACTATATATCACTCACTCAAACTACCATTCACTGCCGAGTATTACTTCGCCTGTTAGTTTTCCTAGTTCCTGTTATCCTTCCCATGTTTCCTTGTTTTGCCTTGCCAGTTTTCTCGGTTCTGATCTTTGCCTGTCTCCCTGGATTTATCTCTCTAGTCTCGCCCCTGTGATTCTGCCGATCGTCGACCTACGTTAGCCCTAGGACTTTTCTTGTGTTTTGCCCGCCATATACCTGTCTGCCATTATCTGACCCATGCCTGTTTTATGACCACGTCTCTGTCTTTTCCTAATAAAGAGCTTGCATATGGATCCGCACGTCTCACGTCTTGTCAGCCCCGTTACAGCAATAAGAAAGAATTCCAATGTAAATACCAAGCACACAATTCTTGTACCAAGGCTACAATTCTGCAATTCCAATGAGACATATAAGCAGTAGCTAAGAAAAAAAAGAGAGAAAAAGCCTTGATGGCATAAAAGTTGAAAACAAAGACAAAGAGAATGACCTGACAGAAAGATGTTAGCTTGGCAGTCTTAGTACTTGACATTTTAAATGTACATTCTTTATGAGAACTGTAATGTTACCTTTTATTTTATTTTAATTTTTTTAATTTATCCTTTATTTTACCAGGATAGTCTCAGTTAGATGCTAAATCTCTTCTTCCAGGGAGTCTAACAACATTTAGACCTGCACTAATGTGATAAATCAAAAAATGACTTAAAGCAAGTACATGTTTCCTTTTTAAGACATTTTAAAAAACTTTTAAAGAGGGGAGAGCTTCCAGCATATAACACTCTGCAGCTCGTTCCATAACAATGGGAAAAAACAGAGGGCAGTTTTGCCAAGCTCTGAGCATACTCTAAAAGAAGTTTAACAGTAGATCTAGTGCTATAATTGCAGGTATAAAAAGATAAAAGATTACAGATATAAATTGGTAATTTACCTAACAATGCCTTAGAAATAAACAACAGCATGTGCATTTCCTTCCTTTGAGACAAAAAGGACCATCCCACCAATTTAAATATGAAACACCTTTCATTTTAAACATCGTAAGAAAAATGTTTAATAAAATGCATCCGCATTTTAAAGCATCTGAAATGCATATTCATAACTCAAGAATTGGTGACAGTTTTTGCCTGAATGCAGCAGTACAGTGGTCATGTGAGACGTGTGCAGGACTCACTTTCGGCACATCCTCTGTGTGAATCCTGCCGCCTCTCCTCTGTAGTATCCGGGAGTACAGGTTCGGACGCACCGCCACTCCTGCTGTAAGTAGTCCGGCGCACACTGAATGCACTCCTCCAGTCCTGGACCTGCAAACACAAGCCCACTGTTAGCTCAGTTCTCCATTACATTTGCAATTCATTGGGATCTTCACCTGAGGCGTGTTTGGGATGGCTGGTGACAGAGGCGTGATGTTAACAGTGCAAAGTTATCAATAATCAGTATGAGTACAGTGTCCTGATACAATGCACCATCAGCTGAAGACTTTCTTGTCTACTTCCAGCTATCTGGCCTGATCAGCTCATCTTTAAGATTAAAGCAGCGGCACAAGAGACTTTCTCCTGCAGCAGGTCAACCATGTCAATGTGATCTCTTATAGAGGTGAATAAAAGGTTCTTTTATTCAGCAAGGATGCATTAAATTGATCAAAAGTGACAGCAAAGACATTTATGATGTTACAAAAGATTATATTTCAAAGAAATGCTGTTCTTATTCATCATAAGAATCCTGTAAAATAACATAGTATGGTTTCCACAAAAATATGACGCAGCACAAATGTTTTCAACATTGATAATAATCAGAAATGTTTGCTTGAATGATTTCTGAAGATCATGTGACACTGAATACTGGAGTAATGATGCTGAAAATTCAGCTTTGATCACAGAAATAAATTACATTTAAAAATATATTCAAATAGAAAACAGTTATTTGAAATTGTAATAATATTTCAAAATATTGCAATTTTTACTGTATTTTACATCAAATAAATGCACTTCATTAATGAATAAATGCATTTTCTTTGCTTAAAATAAGCGTTATCTAAAATAAAACATTAAAAAAACTAAAATAAAAAGTACTCTATTTAGACATTAAAAATAATAATATTAAAAAATGACAAACACACTTGGAAAGCAAAAAACTCAGGGCTTATCAGGCGTCTCTGGTGAGTGTGTGTAATGAAGTAAGTTAATTAGTTTCTATGGCTGAGCAGCAGTAGTGATACAGGACTGGCAGCGGCTCGTTCGGGTCCTGCTGTCCTCAAAACAATACAAACGCTTTACTCTTCAGTTTCTCGCTGTGAACTCATTGGTAAGCAAGTTAAAGAAGATATCTGATCTCATTTGTCTGCTTTTGCATTCAGTTCATTTCATATTCTGTGAGAATTACTTGAGTCGGAGTAAACAGTGTATTGCACGGATTTCTCGACTCGTTCCTCAAGGTCTGCTACAGTTTACCTGTCTGACAGTTTCTCGTAATGGAACGGAACTGGACGGTACAAGACGGGACAGAATGAGATGGGACAGGACGGGATAAAATGGAATGGATTAGAAAGGAATGGGATCGGATGGGATTAGATGAGATTAAATGGAATGGAACAGAATGGAATGGAACAGAATGGGATGGGAAAAATTTAATGGAATGGAACATGATGGAATGGAACGGAATGGGATGGGAAACTTGAATGGGATGGAACGAGATGGGATGGGATAGAATTGAATGGAACTGGATGGGATGGGATGGGCTAGAATGTAATGGGATGGAATAGAATAGAATTAAATGGAATGAGATGGGATGGGATACAATATGATAGGACAGGACAGGACAGGACAGAATAGAATAGAATAGAATAGAATAGAAAGGGATGGGAGGGGCAGGATAGGATGGGACAGAACAGAACAGAACAGAACAGAACAGAATAGAATAGAATAGAAAGGATGGGATGAGAGGGACAGGATGGGACAGAACAGAACAGAACAGAATATAATAGAATAGAATAGAATAGAATAGAATAGAATGTGACCTGTGCATGTGGAGCAGGAGATGTGGCAAGGGCTGCACTTCATTTCTTCCAGGTTAAAAAACGTTCCATTGGCACATTCTGGAACGCAGGTCATTCCTGCCAGACTTTAATCAGGAAAAGGAGAAAAAGAAAAGATTAAACCCATACAGCAGTTCACGGCAATATTTCCACAGATTTAAAGAGCAAACATTGTGTAAAGCAAAAACATCAGTAAGACATCAAAACTATCTGAAACATATGACTGCCTACATTTACATAACTTAAGGCCTATTCACACCAAGAGCAGGACAAAAAAAATATATATAATAGGTATTTTTTATATATTGTTTTTATAATTATAATACAAAAAATGAACATTAATAGTAATTATTGTTATTACTATAACAACAGTGGACTTTCCATTATGTTAAATAAATAAATAATATTTGAATATCTGGAATATTATATCTACAGTATGTCACTTTATGATGTGCATCTTTTACCAACCATTAATGCAAATTATAGATTATTTTGGACAAAAAAAGATAAATCAGACCGTCAATTGTTAGTATTAGTTTGATAAATAATCAACCATCAAAATGTCATAACTGTCACAGCAAACACAACTGTCATAATTGTAACAGCTCTATTTCCAAATCTGTATGTGAGGCTCCTTTTAAGCTTTTAGTGCTCTAAATGTGGCATAGACTAAAACTAGTGTTGAACGAAAATATATTTTCGAACAAATCAAGAGTGACCAGTGATTCTCAGTCCAAAACTTGAGTTAATGTGCGTCTGAGAAAACAACTCTGCAGGCTTCTTCACGGTGGGTTGATCTAGTCCTGGCTAAAAGAGCTGTTTTGTTATGGAAGTGGGGTATTGTGAGTGAGCGGTTGAAAATGACAGGCGTTTCAATAATCATTGGAGCAAGTGTGACGCAGACAATGTGAATCTAAAAGATTCCAGGCATTCGCTCTCGATCTGCGCATCACGATATATAACCCTGACAGATTAAACGCCGTTGAGAGGTCACGGCGCAAAGCGTGCTGCGTTTTACCCTTCACAAAACCAGACTGCCTTTCAAGAACTAAAGCCCGGTCTGTCTCAGTACGGCTCGTCTAAACCACAGCAAAGACAGCATGCATAAAGATGACCAGATGTACCCTAGATGTCCTGAACCCACACAAAAACCCAAAGCCAGACTTCTTACGCTATTTCATCCGCACCAGCGAGAGGCTACAGATGTCATGAGAATTCAGAACTCTGTATATATCGTGCATGGAGTGCAAAGAGGGGTCGATGTTCATTAAACTCGATTGGCTTTAAGAGACGTTTAAATGTTCAATAGCCGCAAACATTTGGTTTTATTTATGCAGCAATCAAGCAACAATCCAGTGAGGATTATCAAATGTTCTTGGGCCGCATCTCAACTGCCACACTCTGAGAGCAGCGGTTCAACACGGGACATGAAGTTGCACACTTCTTTCTCATCAGATTGTTTTGTGCAATTGCTGAACAGTTGAAACTTGAACAGTTTTGATGTTTATTAGTATTACCTGAAGCCATCTTTACAGGCCGTGCATCTGTCTGCATCCCGCAAGCATTTCAAACAGTTCTCGTGACACTTCAGACAACGTCTCTGGCCTGGAAAGAAAGAAAATGTGACGTGAAGATCCCAAAGACAAGGAACATAAAAGTAGTTCTTTCAGGATCACTATGGTCAAAGATGATTGACAATTCGCATACAGTTTGGATGGGGAAAAACTCCCTGTCCATCCATGCAGCCTAGCATGGATAAGAGTATGGGAGAGCAGCGATAACCCCCTTAGGGTCAACAGAACAGAACCAACATAAATGTAGCAAATATCATTGATGTTCTTAATGACAACATAATGTAACAACATAATTCAGGATAAAGGAGTCTGAATCAATGAGGAATATCAGAAGGCCAAGTCCTGACTGTGGATGACAGGAGGAGCTGGGGATGGAGGAGGGTAATTAGCTTCTGAGCAACGCGATAAGCTGCTGAATAATACTGAATGGACATTATATTAGGATGTAATGGGAGGCGTCGTATTCCAACAGGTGGCTGTGGATCAGCTAAGAGTCAGCTGATGCAAGCTTGACTGAGGTGACCTTCCAGAACAAACGCTACCCTTGATTTCAATTAAATTATTTAGTTAATTTTTATTATTTTCTAATAATTAATCAACAGATAAAGTGTCAGAATTGTCACAGCAAACATGTAAACTAACTGCAAACTATTCACATCAAGAGTAAAACTAAATATGCAATTGTAATATATTTCATAATAGTAACAACAAAAACCACAACAACAAGATGTTTTACTGTTGTTATTATTATTATTATAATTATTACAAAGAGGACTTTCCATTATATATATAAAAAAAAAAATAAGTATTTTAATATTCGAAATAGTATATGTGCATTATTTTATTAACACTTTAAGAAAATAATACAATATTTACAAGATCACATTGTAACCAACATTCACAAAAACAATTAAATTAATCAAAATAAGCCTTCTTATAATTCTTTTAATATTATTTTCCTTTTTTTGGTGGTTTTCATTTAAATTTTTAGAAAGGTTGCCTTTGCACCTTTAGTTAAAATAAAATAAGTTAGAATTATACAGTATATTGTAGTTTTAAATACTGTAGTTTTTATTAATATTTTATTTATTTTTTTCCATTTAAATCTCAGGTAAAAGTTTACTTATTATTTTAATTAGTTTTTCATTTTTATTAGATTTAGTCATAAACGTGCATCTATAGTTTTTATTTTTTTATTTCAGTTTTAGTTATTTTACTAAGTTAAACTAAATAAAACTTCCAAATATTGCCTTCAGCAACTAACTGAAAGTAGTTTAGTTTTTAGTTTCATTTTTTAATTTCACTTAACATTCAAGCTGCAAACAAACTGCAATCTATAGCCTTATGAACCAATTATGGTTACATTTTCCTATTTAGAGCACTTTTACTCAGCACAGACAGCACATTAAAGCAGCAAATACATTGTGTGTTTATAAAGACAGTGTCAATGACAATCACATGTATCACACAAACTCAAAACACTGATAACTGATTCACGTGCAAATGGACTGAATGCATGTGCACTGACTGACACGAAAGCGCTGTAAAGAGCCTTTAGCACTTCAACATTTTTCCTGTGATATGAAGAAAGGTTTTACAGGTGCATATTATTTAATACACGAGTTTCACAATTTGAGTTGAATTACTGAAATAAATTAACTTTTCCATGACATTCTAATTTATTGAGATGCACCTGTATAATGAAACAGAACCCTGTTGCAGATTCCAGAATTCATTCTTATTTATTTTATGATCGAATGTTTTATGAATTATACATTAAAATTGCCAGCCCGTAATAGCAGCTGTTTCCCACCAGATTTACACACTCTAAATGACGGAAATCTAGAAAGAACAGAAGATACTAGCAGAGAAAAAGACAAAAGCACCCAAGATAAAAAAATACCCAATTTATTTCAGAAAAACAAAACATGTATGCATGATGGAAGTCATCACAGCATTTTTTTTGTTCTTGTTGATTTGTTGTGTTTTTTTTGCAGTGAATTATTCCCAGTGCTGCACGAAAGAAAAGAGAGAGGGAGAGACAAATTTAGACCTTTGAGTTTTATATTACCTATAATTTGCTCCGATCAGCAGTGAGTGAAATATCTGGGCATCTGGATGCAATTCATACTTGGGTATGTGCAAATTTCATCCATTCACGCTGCCACTAAACACATCTGTTCCAGACGCATGGCTCCGCATGTGTTCAGCAGCTGAGGACGAGCGTGCAAACAACCATAAACCAACTCAAACTCTCCGTCCTCCGACTGTGAAAGACGCTCAATCATTAGTCTGATTTGTGGAGATAACTAGAGCTCATCTCCGTCCCAGCAGCTGTTATCAACAAGACGGAAACAACGAGGGACAAACAACAGCATGAAGCAGAATCAATGAAAGCACTGCCTTCTTCTGCTCTGTGCACATGTGAGCCACGCTTCACTGCTGACTAAACAAATACACTCTGTTCTGTGATTATATAGGCAGTCTTTAAAAAGAAAAGTTAAAGCCATAAATACGAATTCTGACACTATTTACTATTAGTTCACCCTCATAGCGTTCCACACCTGTGTGATGTTATTTTTTGGGAGACACAGAAGTTGAAGAATCGGTTATTTTACACACAACTGCTCAGAGTTTTCACATCTGTTAGGCCTCAAAAAGGACAAAAACACTGTCAACATATATATATATATATATAACATATATATATATATATATA